GAGGCAGAGGCAGGTGGATCTTTATGAGTTCAAGGCCAGGCTGGTCTACATAGTGAATTCCAGGCCAACTGGGGCTACAGGGAGACCCTATCTCAAAAAGGCAAAAAAAAAAAAAAATAAATTTTTTTTGTATTTTTGAGACAGGGTCTCCTGGTGGCCTCAGCCAGCCTAGAACTCCCTATTTAGACCAGGCTGACTTTGATCTCACAGAGATCTGCCTGCCTCTGCCTCCTGAGTGCTGGGGTTAAAGATGTGCATCCAGCCCAGAATCAAAAAATTTAATGCTTGCATATTGTTCTTTCATTGCTGGGAAAATTGGCAGATATGTTTCTCTGGCTTGACTTTGCCACCACCTATACCTTCTAAACTTACTGCTGAAGCTGGGGTTAGAGGTGATTGGGAGGTTGCTCTTCTGGGCAGGAGCTGAAGGGAGGGCAGGATGGTATAAGAAGAGTGGGCAGTTCATGTCCCCATTAGCAGGTTGGGCTTAGCTCAGCTGGGTGTGGTGGCACACGCCTTTAATCCCAGCACTTGGGAGGCAGAGGCAGATGGCTCTTTCTGAGTTTGAGGCCAGCCTGGTCTAGATAGCAAGTTCCAGGACAGCTGGAGCTACAGGGAGACCGTCTCAAAAAGACGAGAAAAAAAAAAAAAAAAAAAAAAAAAAAAAAAAAAAAGGGGGTGGGGTGGGATGGGGATTAGTTCAGTGCCTGGCATATGGTAAGCTCCCCCCTTGCAGGGGGGGTGGTAGTGGATACTGCTGCTAACACATACACATTAAGAAGCCAGTTCTGGACTCATAGGGCCTCTGTTCCTACATGAAACACACATCTCCATCTTTATCACCCTCTCTTTTTCCCTCCCTTCCTGTGCTTACCATTGTTTTGTAAGTATATGCATGCAGGTGGGCACACATGGAAACACGTATCTTTTGAGATTTTAATATTGTTTCCCTGTTATTTTCTATTAGGCCATAAACTACCTCCTTAGGGGTTACCATGCTCTGCATCCCATTGCACCAAATAGGGGCAAGCCTTCCTTGAGATGGCACTGGTCAGTTTGCCTTGCCATTATTTATGCCAGTGTCTTGTCTGAACTGTAGGCTCCTCAAGGGCAGGGACTAAACCTTTAAATCTGTGTCCAGAAACAAGCATGCTTAGCTTGGCCATGTTCTAAAATCTCCACACCTGCTGTTCTCTATTTGGAACCCTTTCCCCAGCTCACATAGCAACTGTGACCTCTGTGGAGTTGGCTTCTCTGACTGTTATTGCATTCACTCCACAGATTATCACATTACTTTTTTATTTTTTAGCACTGCCTGTATTTGGGATAATCTATTAGTTTACTTTTTGTCTTTGTTATGAGAATATAAGCTAATGAGAATAAAGGTGTTGTTTGTCCTATACACTGCTGTATTCTCAGCTATATCAAAGGACTCAGGTGTGGGCATTTGTATCTCTTCTCTCAGACTGAACAGAAGATCACCATGTGGAGAATGCAAAAATTGAACATGTGGCTCCATCATCCAAATACGTTAGAGAAGCAAGTACTAGTATGAATATACTGAGAAGACAAGGGAAAAAGACCAGGTTCTAGATGTAGGGCTTGAAATCTGAGGCAAGAGAGAAACAGGTGGCTAGTACAGAGGTTAGGAGCAATACTTAACATAGTGGTAAGCACTTTGTGAGCAACTGTTGAGTTGTATTGGGGCAGACATCCATCAATACAACACCAGGAGATTAGGTGAGATACAAAAATATTGTGTATAACTTGGTATCTTGGTTTGCAAGTATTTCTACTTGTCTATGTGTGTCATGAGATTTTCTGGGTACACAGTTCAGTGACAGTACTTGTCTAGCATGTGAGGCCCTAGGTTCAATTCTAAGTACTGGAACAATTCTTTCTCTCTCTGCTTAAAAGAGAGAAGGAAGGAGGGAAGAAGGGAAGAAGGGAGGGAAGAAGGAAAGGTGAGGTAGAAGGCCCTGCTCCCTGACCTACCTTTGCCAGCTAAGTCCCACAACCTCCCAAAACAGTGCCACAGCCTCCCAAAACAGAGTGAGGAAGAGAGGGAGGAAGCCAGGGGTGTTGGTGCATGTCTGTAATCCTGATAATCAGGAAGTGGAAGGAGGCAGTCTTGGCTACATAATGAAACCAGACTGGGCGATATGAGACCCTGTCTCAAAAATCTGAGATGGGGGCTGGAGAGATGGTTCAGTAGTTAAAAGCAACCCCTCTCTTGCAGAGGACCTGGGTTTGGGCATCAGCACCCACATGGTGGCTAAAGACCTGCTACGATCCCTTTCTAACTCCAATTCTAGGGGATCTGCTGTCCTTTTCTGGCCCCAGAGGGCACTGCACACACACAGTACACTTACATGTATGCAGGCAAAACACTCATACACATAAAATAAAAGTAAGTTTTTTAAACTGAGAGGGAGGGAGGGAAGGAGAGGATGGGAAAGAAAAAGAGAAGGAAAGTTCAAACGTTACCTTTGCTCACTGTGACATGACAAAGGCAGTTTAAAGAAGGAAAGATTTATGTGGGCTCATGGTCTCTGCAGTCATAGTCCAACATGGTGGGGAAGGCATGGAGGAGTGGTAGCAGAGGCTTCTTCACATAAGATGCTGTGGATTGGGGAGCAAACAGTAATCTTGAACCAGATGCTGGTATAACCTTTAAGGTCCTGACCTACCTTGCCAGCTAGGTTGTACAGCCTTCCAAAACAGCTACCCGCTGGGACCAAGTGTTCAAACACATGAGCCTATAGGGGGACTTTATGCTCAAGCCACACGACAGTATTTAAACAGAAGAACACATAGCCAATAAATGTTCTAGTTAAAATTCTTATTTATTTGTTCAACAACTGAGTTTCTTCTATGGTTCAGGTCATGCCCTTGGCACTGAAAAAAAGGATAAATCCTGGCCCTCAAGGAGCTCACAGTCTAGAGGGATAAACACACAAAAATTAAATACAATGTAATATAACTAGGGCATATAAAGGAACCACTATGAAAGACAAAGAGCAGAGGAACCTAAGTTCTATGTCAGTGTCTATAGGTAAGAAAAGATTGGTGTCCTAGTTTTGTTTTTCCATTGTGATGACAAAATACTCTGACCAATACCAACTTGGGGAAGAAAGGGTTTATTTTATCTTACATCTCCCAGAGTCACAGTTCATCAGGGAGCCCCAAGGTAAGTACTCAGGGAAGGAACCTGGAGGCAGGAGCTGAAGCATAGGCCATGGAGGAACACTGCTTATTGGCTTGCTCCCCTGGCCCCTGCTCAGCCTTTCTTACGAAAAACAGGCCCACTTCCCAGGGGTGGCGCCACCCACAGTGGGCTGGGCCCTCCCACACCACTCAACAATCAAGAAGATGCCCCATGGACATGGCCACAGACCAGTCCAATGAAGGCAATTCCCCAAGTGAGGCTCCCTCAACTCAGGTGTGTCAAGTTGACATTAAAGCTATCCAGCACAATTGGTCTAGTGGACATTTTCAAAAGGAATGATACTCGAAGGCTCATTAATTACCTATATTAAAATTATGTAGAGTACATACTAAAATGTAGATTCTCAGTGCTTTTTGCACATTTTGATCCAGTAGGTCAGGGGCCCAGGAATTTGCTTTCTAAAGTGCTTTAGGTGACTCCATTGCATCTTCAAGTTGAGCATCAGTGAACTAGGATTTGTTTTTAAAAACTGAAATGAAGAATAATCTTCATTATGCTAAGCAACTTCCCTTCTTCCCTTCCTTTCTCTCTTGTGCTTAGAACAGGACCTAGGGCCTCACATACGCTAGGCAAGTACTCTAATACTGGACTATATTCCTAGCCCCTGTGTTTGTCTTGAATGAGGAAAATGAGAAGAAAAGAAGGGACTTAATATTTATTAAATTCTATTGTAGTCTATATGTTAACTTAATTTTCATAATAATCCTATGAGGTAGATATCATCCCCATTTTACGGAAGAAAAACTAAGAATTAGATAGTTTAAGTAGTTTATCATTTATGAGTTAATAAAAGCAAGACTGACATCGGAACCCAGATTCACTTAACCCTAAAGCCTATCAACTTCCTATAAACATTATGCTGGCACCATAGAACAAAGTTACAGAATGTTACAATTTTCATTTGTTATTTGTTAGATATCCTTGGCTAAATAAATATAAAAAACAGCCAGATGGTCCTTTAGTTACATCTAGTATAATGACCCATGGATGCATCATCTTTCTTTGGTAAGTTGGGATTGAGGGCAAAACCAGGAGGAACCAGAAAATAAGCATCCATTTCTTATTTTTTTCTTATCATCTTACCCTCTGGTAGAGGTGTTATGAAAATGTACTATGGCTAAGAACTGAGTCCATCTGGAGGGAAAAGCAAACATAGCTGGATACTTACAAAAGAGCCCCACCTGATGTCATGTCAAAGATTCTTGGGACATAAAACATCCAAAAGCTTGGAAAGCATTTAAAGAAAATCACAAAGTTGACAGAACTTAAATTTCTCAAAAGGAAGCTAGGCGTGGTGGCGCATGACTTTAATCCCAGCACTTGGGAGGCAAAGGCAGGCAGATCTCTGTGAGTTCAAGGCCAGCCTGGTCTATATAGTGAGTTCCAGGCCAGCTGGGTTACCCTGTCTCAAAAAGACAAAAAAAAACCACACAAAACAAACAAACAAACAAAAAAACCAAAAACAAAATAAAACAACCCCTCCCCAAAACCCACCAAATTAAAAACAAAACAAAACAAAACAAAAAAACAGTCTTCTAGTTTTCTGTGATACAGAACACATAGATAACATAAATACATATTCACCAAATTTAGTGGCATCCAGCTAGATCCAGCAGGGACAAGAGATAAGGTGGAACATATCAGATTGAGGAAATCAAGGTATAGTACAGGTGGTTGACAAGAATACTAAAGGTGAGGGTGAGGATGGGGGTGGGGGTACAGACCAGGCCTTGAGTTCAGAAGGCTGGTATGTAACCGCTATTCTCTTCTGAAATCACTCACCTTGGAGCCACACAGTGACACTACTGACTACACACAGATATCTAGTGCTGGAGGACAACTTGCTTATTTCCAGTATTTTCAAGAAATTGCTAAATCACAAGATGAATTTAGAAAAAAAAACCAACCCACAGCACTGACATTATGGAGCACATCCAGCTCAGTTCCAGCATTCTGTGTAACAGACTGTAAGCCAGACTTGTTTTACTGCTACATTTCCCATATGCCCAATTTGGGGACATTTGCTTCCAGTCACGTTTTCATATAATATGTAATTAAAAAAAAATCATGCAAATCTGGAATGATTTCCTTATAAAAATGTTTTATTTACACTGCACTGATTCACCAGCTTCTAACAGGCAGAGTTCAAGGAGCAGGTGCCATAAGCTATGGTTTAACAATATGCAGGCACTGTATCTGCTTATTTAACTAACCCTGAAATTTGCTAAATTACACTAAAGGCAACTCTGGAAGGGCATCTAGAAGTCTTTATCCCGATGGAAATACCTGGTTGTTCAGTGTCTGGCCAGGCTTTTGGGGCTATGCTTTTGGCCAACTCACTGGTACCTGGAAAGAGTACATAAAGCCAATATCTTATTAAGAAAGTCTTCGAGCTTATTGCCACAAGCTTATAAAGATGTACTGGAAGCTATGAGGTCAAAATGGCCAGAATGCAGCTGCAGCATTACACTATATAAAAATCCTGTTAACTGTGCTGAAGATCCCTGAATATTTCTTGTTCAGTGCTCAGAAAAACATTTAAAGGAAACCTTAAGTATGCTGAGAGGTAATTATCAGAATATTTGTATATTTTGCTCCTGAATATCAAGCATTAGAGCTCATCTTCAAACATTTCTGGCAATAAGCCTACAGGGCAACTCTTTACAGACTGCTTACTGTAGATGCTGAGCTCTGGAGCTGAGGATGTGGGTGGGATTCAAACTATCCAGGGCTTTGTTGACTTTGCGAAGGCAAATCCAGACAGCTCTAGCTCTTATCCTGGTTCTGGGCACATTTCAGTTCTGTTCCAAGTCCACTTTGCTCCAGTTCAGCGATGACAGACATATATTTGAACTCATTTGGTCTGAAGTTAAAGGTCTCTACTAACCCGTAGACCTCTTTTCGATCAGTGGCATAGAAAAGCTGAACCTGGTTGGCAATGCACTGTGCCTCAGCAACATTCTGTAAGACAATAAGAGTAGTGAGGTTCCTTCCCTCACAGGGGCTTTGTATCTGAATTCTATGGTGGAGTCACTGCTTCTAGAAAGCTTCCCTGACACCCTGACTTCCCAAGTCTTGGTTAGATATTTATAACCAAGGCATCTTGTTTACCACTATTATCACATTGTCTTCTGTCTTTTTTTTTTTTTTTTGTCTGTCTTCTCTAATAAAGATTCTCCGGCCGGGCATGGTGGTGCATGCCTTTAATCCCAGCACTTGGGAGGCAGAGGCAGGCGGATCTCTGTGAGTTCAAGGCCGGCCTGGTCGACATAGTGAGTTCCAGGACAGCTGGGGCTACAGGGGAGACCCTGTCTTAAAAAGACAAAAAAAAAAAAACAACCAAATCTCAAAGGTATAGACCATCATGACTTAATATGTGCCTAGATACAGTAACATAATGTTCACTGAGTAAATAAATTAATTCATAACTTACAATTTCTCTCTTCATTCAGTTCCTAAAAAAACCATTACATACATCTCAGAGGGAGAGGCAAGAGTCATCTGGCTCCAAGAATTAATTTGCAAGTATTAAGTTCTTTGAAAAAAATAACTTTTATAATTTATTTTTACTTTATGTGTATGAGTGTTTTGCCTGCAAATATGTAAATATTCACATGTGTACAATGTTTGCTGAGGCCAGAAGAGGGTGTCAGATACCCTGGAACTGGAGTTATGGATGGCTGTTAGCTGCCATGTAGGTGCTGGGAACCAAAATTGGGTCTACACCATGAGCAGCTGGTGCTCTTAACTGCCAAGTCATCTCTCCAGCCTCAAGTACTAATTTTTTGACTAACCAGACATGCACTTGAAGACAACTTACTACTGATGGTTACCCCAGTCAGAAAAAAAGTGCCAAAGTCAGCTGTGATGCCTATAAAATTTGTCTCCAGATTTCATGCAGCTGGAGGGATGGCTCAGAGGTTAAGAGTATTTGCTGTTCTTCCAGAGACCCAGGTTCGATTCCTAGCATGCACATAGTGGCTAACACCATCATAACTCCAGTTCCAAGGGACATGATACCCCCTTCTGGCCTCTGTGGGCATTGCATGCACATGGTGCACTTATATACATGCAGGCAAAACACTCATACACATAAAATAAAAATAATAAAATATTATTCCTAGTGTGGGGCTGTGCTTAGTGATTTGCTTCTATCAACTGGACTATGCTGAAACCATAGGGAAGGATTCTTGTTGCACAAGACTGACAACTTAAGTTCAGATCCCTGGAACTCATGTAAAGGTGAAAAGAGAGAACTGACTCCACAAAGTTGTACTCTGACCTCCATTCAAGTGTTGTGCCCTCCCCCATCATACACATACATACACACACTAATAACAAATAAAGGAAAAAAATAGATATTTAGTTGTTCTAGCTGGCCAGAAATAAGTATCCATCATCACTGTGTTTACACAGACAAAACACCCTCTTCAAAGATGGAAAAATTCCCACTTAAGACTGACTGTCCAGAAATGGAGAGATGGCTCATTTGTTGAGTACTTGCTACTCTTGAGGACCTGAGTTCAGGTCCCAGCACACACATGGTAGCTAATAATCATCCTTAACTATAGTTCCAGGAAACCTGACGCCCTCTTCTGGCCTTCTTGGGCACTAGGCCTGCACATGGTGCACTTATATACATGCAGGCAAAACACTCATGACACATTAAAAAAAAAGAAGAGAGATTGTCCAAAGTACTAAGGATTGAAGCAGTTTGAGACTAGCAGAGTGAAGTAGTAAAATAGCACAAACCAACAAACACCTCTCCTGACTTCAGGATCCATTTTAAATATGGTCAGAGGCTGTGTTTTGCTGAAGACCCCCTCACCCAAAAAAGTACAACTTCTATGTCATATTTCCATGTTGAAATCAAACCTTGTCATCAATAGCTATGTCTTCTCCAAATCTCAGCTTGAAATATCTGCACTTTGTCTATTGTTTCTTACCTTTCTAGTTTCCTCTAAACTCCAACAATCTTCAACTCAACAAGTCTTAGTGTATCTATCTTTTTACTTCCCCTTTAAAAATACTTTATTATTTTTATTTTCCTTTATGTGTATTGCCTGCATATATGTATGTGTAGCTGTGTTGTGTAATGCCTGTGGAGGTCAGAAGAGGGCATCAGATTCCCTGGAACTGAAGTTAAGGATGGTTGTTAGCCACCATGTGGGTGCTGGGAACTGATCCTGGGTCCTCTGGAAGAATAGGTAGAGCTCTTAACTGCTGAGCCATCCCTCCAGCCATTCCCCCCCCCCCCGCCAGGCCTTTTTTATTTTTTCATTCTCTGGTAAGTGCAAGTGTTCCTTTACATTCACCTTAAGCGTCCTGGCCCTTCAATCACTTCATTATACCACATGGCTAAACCACAACTCTGGTTAAATCTGTCATCCTCTCTGTGCCTATATCTGCACAGAAATTCTCTCTTCCATTTTCCTAGTCGTTTGGCAAACACATCCTATAAATAGCAAATATTTTAGGCTTTGGGAGCCATACAGTTTCATACTCAACTCTCTGTTAGAGTCAAAGCAGTGATAGAAAATATGTATATGGGGGCTGGAGAGGTGGCTCAGTGGTTAAGAGCACTGGTTGCTCTTACAGAGGACCTGAGTTTGATTCCCAGCACCCATATGTCGGTTAACAATTGTCCATAACTCCAGTTCTAGGGGATTCAATGCCCTCTTCTGACCTCCATGGGCACTGCATGACACAGGTGCACCTACATACATGCAGGCAATATACTCAAACCCACAAAATAAGTAAATAAAATACGCTTATGAAAGACCACTTATAGACACTGAAATTTGAATTCCATAGTTTTTAAATGTCATGAAATAATATTTTTTTGTTCTCTAACTCCTTTTTTTGGGAAACCCTAGGACAATTTTATTAGAATTTAAGGAAAAATCCTCAGGGCAGGCAAGCTGTAAATCTCAGCAGCTGCCTTGAGGAGGGGAACAGAGGGGAGAAGAAAAAAGACATAAAGTCATGCTGGTTTAGAGCTTGCATGGAGGTAAGAGAGACACCACATGGTAGACTAGCAGCCACATGGCAAGGAGGGGAAGGGAGTTGTAGAGAAAAAGGTAGAGAAACACAAAATGCGGGGGCAGCCCAAAGCATTAGGGAAAGCATGGTTAGAAAAGAGTTTAAAAAAAAGGAAGAGATCATGCTTTTCTGAAGAGTTCAGAAAAGTAGGCAAAACTTGTGGAAAGACATATGTCTATGTGAGACTTAATCCACAATGTGCTCTGTTCTCTACCTCTTAATCATTTTAAGATTAAGATACAGAAAGAAAAATCATAATTCATGGGTCTTAGAAAAACAAGCAAGGGTTGGATCTAGCCCACAAGCTATAGCTTGCAGACAATTTCATACTTTCTCTTTTGACTCAAACATCTAACATCTATTTTCTATACTTACTCTAAGCTGATGGCCTTTCTTTTCACAAAGAAATCTGGTAAGCACTTCTATAAGCTACTACTACCTCTACCCATTTTACTATATTGTATCTGTAGCCCGTAAATCCTCATCTTCAGACTTGTCTCCTCAAAAATATTATTTCTGGGGTTGGAGAGGTGGCTCAGTGGTTAAGAGTGTGTACTGCTCTTGCAGAGGATCTGAGTTTCCTACCATCTATGTTGGGTGGCTGACAACTCCTGTAATTCCGGCTTCTGTGGAATCCCATGCCTCTGGCCTCTATGGACATCTGTACTCACTTGTACATACCCCGACCCCCAACATAATTTTAAAATTATTCCTTTTTCCTCCTATATTGTTGACTTTCTCTCTACTGGATCTTTCCGTATCATTTATTCCATATTTAAAATAAAAGACATCTTGTTCTTAGGTCTTTCTTCCATCTAATGCCCTACTCTCTCCATCCCTTGAAAGAGTTAATGTTTACTCTTAATTTCTTTTCCATCTTTCCTAAATGTGATCATGCTTATAATTGCACCACTCCTCTGAAACTACTTTTATAAAGATCCCAGATACATTTTTTGTTATGTATGCATGTGTGTCTTTTTTATTATTTTTATTGTATGTGTATGAGTGTATTGCCTGACTGTACGTAAGTGCAACTGTGTTGTGCAATGCTGTGGAGGTCAGAAGAGGGCATCAGATTCTCTGGAACTGGAATGATAGATGACTGTTAACCACTATGTGGGTGCTGGGAATCGAATCCGGGTCCTCTGTAAGAGCAGCCAGTGCTCTTAACTGCTGAGTCATCTCTCCAGCCTGAGATTCCCAGACACTTCTATGTTTGTAAAATCCGGTAAATTTTGGGGCTGGAGAGATGGCTCGGTGGTTAAGAGCACTTGACTGCTCTTGCAGAGGACCCGGGTTCAATTCCCAGCATCCACATGGTGGCTACAACCATCCTTAACTCCAGTTCCAGGGGAATCCAAAGCCCTCTTCTGACCTCCACAGCATTGCACGACATGGGTGCACTCACATACATGCAGGATTTGTCCTATAAGCGAGTTAGATGTGTCCTGCTGAATACTTGCTAGTGCTTACATTTTATTTTAGTTTCTAGGTGTTCTATTATCTTAATTTCTCTTGTATCCCAACTACTTTTTTTAGTCTTCTTTGCTGCTTCTTCATCTCTGAGGACTCAGTTCTTATACCATTTCTCTTCTGTATCTTCATTTATTTCCTTGGTAATTTCATTCACTCTGTGACTTTAAATTTGTATGCTACAAGTTGGGCCTCTCTTCTGAACACCAGGCTCATATATCTAACTGCCTAGTACTTGGATAGCTAGCTAATAGGCACCTTGAATTTAACATGTCCAAAAGCAAGGTCCTGATTTTATTTTCTTCCTAAAACTATTCTTTCTGAAATCTTGTTTATCTCAGTAAATAGCAAATATATATATTTCTGGATAGGATTTTGGTGACTTTCAGGTTGAGTCTGATAGATTCAACAGTTTAAGAAGAAGGAAAAATGAGAGGAAAAAAAATTGAACATTTTTAAGAATAATAGTCTGGAACGTAGAACCTTATTGTGCTTTAGATCTGGAGCCTACGGTTACCATGAGAAACTAGCTTGATGTCCTTCTTTCTTACCATGCGGCTGGTAAGAGACAGAGAAGAAAAATAAATGGGTGTTATAACAGAGGAAAAGGCTTTACAGTGCCTACTATTTTGAGGGTACTTGAACAACTGTCAGACAAATGAAATTGAAATAAGCAAGCATTAGACAGATATAACCCCTTCTCTGGCTGGATATACAGGGAGAACAATGGGTATCACTTGTTATGGGCACATGGTTGATGCTCTATATTAGTGACTTAACTGGGAATGGAAAAGGAGGAAAGGAAATCCCTGTGCATGGTAAATGTTGTACACATGGAGGTGTAGAGAAAGCTAAAAGAACTGTTTTAGACTTTGAACTCATCTCCATACTTCATGAGTATTCACATATCTACAGTCTTACTTAAAATCCTCAGGGCCAGATGTGTCTTGGTCTTGGTATTATTAGATTTTAGAAAGGTATAGGTGAAGCTGGGCATGGTGGTGTACGTCTTTAATCCCAGCACTTGGGAGGCAGAGGCAGGTGGATCTCTGTGAGTTCCAGGCTAGCCTGGTCTACAAAGTGAGTTCCAGGCCAGCTGGGGCTACAGGAGACCCTGTCTCAAAAAGACCAAATAAAGGGAAAGGTACAGGTGAAGATACTGTGTAATGGTGTGTTGTGAAGCTTCCCATAATTTAAAAAACTGTTTTGGATAGCTTTAGTTGTCAACTTGACACACCTGGGTACAGGGAGCCTCAACTGGGGAATGGCTTCTATTGGACCTGCCTGTGGCCATATCTGTGGGGCATTTCTTGATTACTGAGTGATGTGGGAGGGCCCAGCCCACTGTGGGCAGTGCCACCTCTGGGCAGGTTGTTCTGCATTGTATAAGAAAGCAGGCTTAACATGGGCCCAGGGAGCTAGCCAGTGAGCAGCATTCCTCCATGGCCTGTACTCAAGCTCCTGCCTCCAGGTTCCTTCCCTGAGTTCCTACCTTGGGTTCCCAGATGAATTGTGACCTGGGAGATGTAAGACAAATAAACCCTTTCCTCTCCAAGTTGGTATTGGTCAGAGTATTTTGTCACAGCAATGGAGAAACAAACTAGAACAAAAACATTGATACTTCCTTAATAAAATGCACAATATTCCACATCAAGTGAGACTAATAAGGACTATAAATGGCCTCATAGTTTAAGTGAAAATTTAACTCCAAATGAGTTTAAAGTAGACAAAATTTTGTGATCAAATGAGAATATAAAACTATTTTCAGGACCTGCAAGATGGCTGCGTGGGTAAAGGCACTTGTCACCAAGCCTGAAAGCCTGAGTTTGATCTTAGGAATCTACATGGTAGAAGGAGAGAATTGACTTCCAAAGCTGTCCTCTGACCTCCACACTTGCCATCGCATGTGCATTGACATACTTGTAGGAACACACACACACACACACACACACACACACACACACACAAATGAAAAAACGTTAAACTATTTTCAGAGCTTGAGGATTTAAAAATTATGAATACATGACTAAGCATCTGTAGTAACTTCAACTTCGAAGAATGTGAGCAAGACAAAATATTTTCAACTATAAGAAACAAAATATCCCCAGGCCTCTCTTCCTAACCTAGACTGGAGGCACTGACAAATGAGTAATACATGCTGGTTGACTAGGTAAGTCCAAAGAGGATTTGTAGATTCTTACCAGAAATGTGGAATCCATTTCTGCTGTCATCAGCACTATGCCCTTTTCTTCCTTAAGTTCAGGATAGTGATATAAAATCAGCTGGCTGGCTGCAGCATCCCCTCGGGTCTGTAAGAGGAACACTTATCAAAGCTCAATAAGGGACCACCACAACAAACTGCAATTTCAAAGCAACAGAGTCTGGAGGAAATTCTAGCTCTTAACAGCCCCTTGGGTGGCTAGTGAGTTGGAGAACTGGTATGTGGGGGCAAGGTCAGGCCTGCAAAGGCACAGTGAAACTGAGTTTGTACTATGTTATTTGTGTCTTCAATTGGAAAAGGTTTGGCTTATTTTTTTTCCCAGACAATGTTTATGGAAGGCAGTGAATCCTTCATTGTAGTCATATATTTAAAAACGAAATGGCACAAGTAGCTACCAAATCAAGTTCTAAAGAAAGCAATGTGCCTTTGTAATTTCCATTTTTATGGACTAGTGCATTTCATAGTTGAAATCCACTTCCCTTGGCTGGCTCTGAAGACTGAGTTCTTTTAAGCTATAGCAAGTACTGGAGGGTTTGCATACAAGCTAGATTTCTATTGTAGAGTTCTAAAATACCATCTGGTTGGAGAAGAAAGGAGAGAAAATGGGAACAGTGATGAATAATCAGTGTAGAGGTGACCAGATTTTGTCTACGCTAAGAAGAGAAGCTGAATTTAAAGCTAATGCCTTTATACAATATAAAAGGAAACAGTGACATTCAAAAACAGATCCCTGGGCTTCATCTCTAAAATTTCAACAAGGTTCCTTTTAATTATCATACCTAGCTATTGCTAAGATACTCTTAATAGTTCTGCCTTTGATCATTTTGTTTCTGAGAGGTTAGGAGCTCTTGATGAGGGTTTAAATTATGAAATTCATACATGATAATGTAACACATACACACACGCACATGCACACGCACACGCACACTCTTAATCCAGCTAAGAAAGAAAGTATTAGGGGCTGGAGAGATGGATCAGTGGTTAAGAGCACTGACTGCTCTTGCAGAGGACCTGGGTTCAGTTCCCAGCACCCACATGGTGGCTACAAACCATCCTTAACTCCAGTTCCAGGGGAATCTGAAGCCCCTTCTGACCCCATGGCACACAGGTGCACTCACATACATGCAGGCAATACACTCATACACATAAAATAAAAATAATAAAATATTTTAAAAAGTATTAGAGATACAATTTGAGGATCCCTCTCTACCCTTTTCCAATCCTACTTTAGAATTAACATCTGTTCTGTATTTGTTATCTGTCATTTCCTTCTATGTTTTAAACTTTTAATCTTTCTCTTCTACTTAGGTCTGAGCTTCATGATAGCAGACTTCTTGTCTTATAATCTGTAAGTTCTAGTGGAGTACTAAGACAATGGTACAATATTTAAGTTCATAGACCAGAGTCAGATAAACTGAACTCAAACCTAGTTTATCACTTAGCAATGTGAACTAGCTTCTCTAAGTTCACCTTCTTCTCTGTAAATAGAAATAATAATAGTAATCATTTCAGCGGTATATTTGAGAGGATTAAATGACAAATATAAAACCCTCACTGAATAATATATCAAAATGTTAATATAGTATGTGCTCAATGCATCATAAAATAATGTGAAAATTTGCTCCCTCATTCTATTTTTGTACCCTCTGCCTCAACTTTAAAAGCCAATATAACACATGCTTGTTTTTATCAGATGTGGGCTCCAAATATAAAATGTCAATCCTAGTTATTATGATTAAAAATACTGACATTTATTTTAAGAGCTTCAATTATTTTGACTTATATTTTTTAATCCCAATACTTGAGAATAAAACGAAGGAAAAAAAAAAGCAAATAAAGTAACACTTATTAAATGAAAACTATTCATCTAGCACTTTGGAAGAGGCTGACTTGGTTAATAAAACCCAAGTAAGACATAAAGTCTTCCTCAATGTGCTTATAGATTGGGTTAAAAAGATAACATCTTGACTTAGCAATGTCTGTTAAGTTAGGCACATGTAATAGATGCTATAGAAGTCTGGAGGAAGAGACAAAAGTAAGCCAGATACAGAGAAGATGTTAGATGTTCTGAGTTCTAATTTCTTGGTAGCTCAATATTCAATGTATGACAATTCATCAGAGCCATAGCTAGCAGATATCCTGTACCCCAACCCTCAGGAAGGACTCCTAGTCTAACCAAAGGACAGGAGGACAGGGTTTTGTCCCCCTCTCTATTCTGTGTTTCCTAGGGCATAAATAACCTACCTGAATATTTATAAGTGCAGTGAAGTGGAGCTCAGTACCCGTCCATTGTCCTACAAAGAACTCATAACCTTCCCTCCTTGGTAGTGCACAAAGAAACTGTGGAAACAGATAACAGGCGGACAGATGAACAAATGATGCCATTTTTCAATGTCTAACTACTTGTACCACACTATGTCTTCAAGGATTGGCTTTTTAAACACATGGCCTCATGTATCCCAGGCTGGCCCTCAAACTCAGTATGTAGCCAAAAATAACTCCTGATCTTCCTGCCTCTACCTCAAGTGCTGAGATTAAACACGTGCCACTACATCCAGTTTATGGGATACTGGGGATTGAACCTAGGGCTTTGTGCATGTTAGGCAAAGCAGTCTACCACTGAGCTATATCCCCAGTCCACAGTACTTGGCTTTCAAAACATTTTTTAAATTATGAAATTCATTATGGAATAATACAACAAACATTTCAATCCATTAAGAAAGCATTAGAGATATAATTTGAGAAGAAGTGACATTTAATAATACTGTCATCCAATCCACAAACATGATATATCTCTCCATTTACTTAGGTATTCTTTATTTTTTGCTAGCAATGTTTGAGAAAGAAACTTAGAAAAGTCAGAGGTCATATCAGCTATCCATTCCTTCTCTCAGAAGCCTTCTGGTGGCTCACTACTTTGGCAACAATCTAATAATTACATTTGGGCACATATTAAAAAAATAGCAAGGCCAAAACCATAAAGAAAACTGCTAACAAAGAAGGAACTTGAAGAAGGTTGCAAACATTAAGATCTTAGGTATCTTCTAATATGCACTTATACTGGCAGAGTAAGACCCATATCAGAAAGGCTTGAGATATGGTAGAAGAGTTAAAAAGCCAGAAGTATTGGGTCAAATATCTATGATTTCATAAGGATGAAAATATCACTTATCAGTACAATTAACATGTGAACACTTTTTTATTTTGCTTTTTGAGACAGGATCTCACTACGTAGTCCTGGCTGGCCTGGAAAGTCCCAGAGATCTGCCTGCCTCTGCCTCTCTGGTGCTGGGATTAAAGGTGTGTACCACCACACCTGGCATGTACACTTTTTAAATAGAGCACTATATCATGTGAGAGGAAATGATTTGAAAAAAACCCTGTTTGGACAGCATTTATAAGAAATCCTACATGGTCACCACAGACTTACTGTTGGACAAGACTGAGCCCGGCTCCAGATCAAATCAAATTTGTCTTTCTGTAAATTAGAAAAAAAAATTAACTCACAAATAGAAAAATACAAAGTTACAATCACAGTAAAATTTGCCAAGATTGAATTTTGGAACTATATCATCAATGAAACAATCTTTTAAGTTCCACCATTTACAAATCATTCTTATGATAGATGGGAAAAACCAGATGTATGCTTTGCTGTTCAAGGTGACAAATTATGTGTGAAGATTAAGTGCTTCAAGTTCCAAACTCTCCAGGGAACCAGGTGAATGAATCCAAGGGAGAACTGAAAAGGCCTATTCAAACAAGTTGGTATGAAAGATTGAAAATATGATGAAAAATGTACACTGCTTAGGGTGTTGAATTCATGAAGGTAAAGAGCATATATGTATTAAGTTAAAAAACAGACACGGATACCGTTATAAAAACCAAAAGGCCTGGCTTTATCCTTCTGTATGTGTTTTCCTCCTTCATCTTATACTTATGTAAACCAAGAATATATACGCGTTCTTTCTTCCGTTGTACTTCAGGGTAAGCTATAATTGTTTAATCATTTCTATTTTGGGAGGGGGGTCTTTTTGAAACAATGTCTCCCTGTAGCTCCAGCTGGCCTGGAATTTACAATGTAGACCAGGCTGGCCCCTTGATATCACAGAGATCTGCCTGCTTCCACCTCCCAAGTGCTGGGATTAAAGGCGAGCATCATCAGGCCTGGATCGTTTCTTTTTTATTTAAAGTTTATTTATTTTTATTTTATGTATATGGGTGTTCATGTACCATAGTGCTTGCAGAGGCCAGAAGAAGATGCCAGATCCCCTGGAACTGGAGTTACAGACAGTTGTGAGCCACCACGTAGGTACTAGAAATTCAGGTCCTCTGCAAGAGCATCAAATGCTCCTAACTGCTGAGCTATCTCTACAGGCTATATGGGTGTTGGATCCCCAGGAACTGGAGTTACAAACAGTTGTTAGGTGCCATGTGGGTGCTAGGAAACGAACCTGGGTCCTCTGCAAGAGGAGTCAGTGTTCTTAACTGCTGAACCATCTCCCCAGCCAGCCCCTAGATATAATCTTACCAGATAAGACTGCATCCTTTTCTAGTTATAGGCTTTAATGGTTAAGCAATGGCCAGTGACAGTGACTATCTTCAAGGCAGCAATTTCAAGAAGGTAAAACCAAGAAAATGCTACATGCTAAGTGGACATCCTGGAGAAAGATTAGGAAGTTCTACCTCAGCTCAAGTCCATGCCATTTACAGACAAGAAAGGAAGAAAGCTATGCTAGAGGCATTGTCTTAAATTCTAACAGGTAGATTGGAAAAATGAAAAAGAAATAAAATACACCGAGAAATTACTCAGAAACATGAACTTGCATCAGCCTCCCTTGTTTGAGACTTGATTTGGGGATATTTCTAGACCAAAAAGAGGGAAAACGAAAGTCATAAATATACCATATGGAGCTTCCAATCTTTGGTGCTTAGGGCATAATAAAAACTCTTAGAGCTGTAAACTGTAAGCTGTCAAGATGCCATAAACACAGGAAAAGGAAAGGCAACTAACTGCCTGAGAAGGTTAGAGCACTGACCTATGTGCTATTATAACACTTTCATTTTCCCTCCAAATTACTCACAGGAATAACTGCGTAGACTGTATCTTTTGCTGCAAAATACTGCTGCCAAATCTGCAATAAATGCATAAATAAATGCATAAATAAACAGTCTGTGACATGTGGGTCATTTTTTCAGTGTATGTCAAGAAACATTGACAGTTTTCACTGCTCAGGGTATTATGCTATTTGATAACAGGGAGGAGAAATCCATTGTAATGCTTTATTTTTAAAAATAATTTTATTATTTTTATTTTACATGTATATTTTCTACATGTATGTAAGTGTACCCATGTCATGCAATGCCCACGGATGTCAGAAGAGGGCATTGGATCCTCTGGAACTGAAGTTAAGGATGGTTGTTAGCCACCATATGGGTGCTGGAACCAAACCTGGGTTCTCTGCGAGAACAGCTAGTGCTCTTAACCACTGAGCTGTCTCTCAGCTCCCATTGCAATGCTTTAAGTAACAAGTAAATGATTATAAAAAATTTAACACCATAAACTCTTCTCACTGATTAAATTGTAACTTTTAAAATATTTTATTTAAATTTTTTACTTTATTTTTATTTTATGTGTATGAGGGTTTTGCCTGCATGTATATAAGTATATCCATGTGTGCAATGTCCACAGAGGCCAGAAGGCATTGGCTCCCCTAGAACTGGAGTTAAGGAAAGGTGCTATCATATGGGTGCTGTGAACCAAATCCAGGTCATCTGCTAGAGCAGCCAGTGCTCTTAACCACTGAACCATCTCTCCAACCTTATTATTTTTGAATTATGTGTTTCTCTGTATGTGGGCTTGTTCATGTGACTGCAGTGCTGGAGTTACAGACTGCTGTGAGCTGCCCGATGTAGGTGCTGAGAATTCAACTCAGGTTTTCTAGAAGAGCAGTATGCTCTCTTAATCTCTCCAGTCCCTAAGCTGTAATTTTTTTATTAATTATTTTTATTTTTGTATATGAATGTATTGCCTGCATGTATGTAAGTGTATCCGTGTTGTGCAATGCCCTCGGAGGTCAGAAGAGGGTGTTGGATTCTCCTGGAGCTGGAGTTATGGACCATTGTTAGCTGTCATGTGGTTACTGGGAAATGAACCTGGGTCCTCTGTAAGAGCAGCCAGTGCCATCTGTCCAGCCCCCTAAAATGTAACTTTTAATAATAAACTGTCAAAGAAACTGCTTCTATGACCTCTGAAATAATTTTTCTCAAGATGTTCCTTATGTATGATAGACAACCCCTTTCTCATAGGTTCTTCCTTCTCTCCCCAAACCCAGAACTGTGGTCCTTCTAAGAAAGCCAGGACATCGGCCATTCAGAGTTTAGGGTCTAGAGTCAGATGGATTTGGATGGAAATCCCAGCCCTGATAATTTACTAGCTATGCTACCTTGGGCAAATCACTGAAATGTCTTAAATAACATCAATAAAATAACAGTAACACCAACCACACAGGATTGTTATGAACACTAACTGAACTAATATAACTCTGAGACTGGCACAGAGTAAACACTAAAAATGTTAGCTTTTACTGCCATATTACAGGCAGCTTTTGAAATCCTGCTTCCAGAAAGTCTTATGAGTAAGGAACAGATAGAGTCTGTTGGGTTTGACTAGGATATATATCAGTCAGAAGTCCTATCTCTGCCTGGCATCAGAAAACAGGGAGGGCATAGTTGATTTTTATGATGCAAATACTCAAAGGTAGAGAATAAATTTACATATTATAAAATCAGAAAATAAACCGGGCGTGGTGGCGCACGCCTGCAGTCCCAGCACTTGGGAGGCGGGGCAGGCAGATCTCTGTGAGTTCCAGGACAGCCTGGTCTACATAGTGAGTTCCAGGACAGCTGGGGCTACAAGGAGACCCTGTCTCAAAAAAGACAAAAAAAAAATCAGAAAATAAGAACAAAGAAACAATGTTCATCATTCTATTATTATAAAATTGTTATTTTGATGTTTCTAGTGTCTTAAGAAATAATTTATTTTGTAATACATTATACATATATAGCATATTTGCATTATGTCTTGCCTTTTAAATTACCTAGGGAGATCATAGCTATGCTCTGTGTTCGTATTTCTTACTCTTATTATTTTTATTATCCTCCATGTGAATGGCTTTTCACATTATTGGCCTTGCTAGAAAGCTTTCTTCTCCCTATCTGACTCCCTTCCAGCCAGTTCTTCTTAGCTTTCAAGGTTGAGCTTATATACCTTTTCTTGCATGTAGTCTTCCTTGATTATTTCAGTCAGAAGTTTTTTAATGAATTGTCTTTGTCACTTCATAGCTCCCTAAAATTGCCTAGAATATGACAGTTCATAATATAGCCATCTGTATATGACTCCATCTCCTTGACTACTTTGCAAGTCATCTATATGCAGAATATTTGCCCATGTTGTCACCAATGCCCTGCAACTCAATAGTGTCAGATGACCGTGATATAATAAATATGCTTACAGCTGGGGATATCACTGACACTTGCTTTGCATGAGGTCTTGGGTTAAATGTACTAGCACTGCTGGGGGTGGAAGACACATTAGGAGGAGCTTGGCCTATACCAGGGCTTAAATTATTTCCATTTGTGACTTCTTTCGCCTGAGAAATTTGTATGAGACTGTGGGTATACACAATATAAAATAGGTATACAAATCAAACATTTACTGATTTATTACTCATAAAGAAATTTATTTTAAAACAATTCTTTCATAAACATAATTTTATCATTTATAAAGACAAATCAAATTTGCATACTAATGGGGAGGGATGTGCTTATTTATTTTTTTTGATTTTTGATTATTTATTTATTTATTTATTTTTTAGTGTTTTTGAGACAGGGTCTTCCTGTAGTCCCAGATGGCCTGGAACTCACTATGTAGACCAGATTGGCCTTGAACTCAGAGATCCATCTGCCTCTGCCTCCTGGGTGCTGGGATTAAAGGCATGCGCCATCACACCTGATGCTTATTTATTTTTAAATAAAGAACTGAATTTTGGCTGAAAAGTGATATTACAAGACAGAGAATCTTCAACATTTTCCAGAGGTGACTTTTAAATTTTATAATTATCAATGCTGAGAATACCATATCACATAAATATATACAAAACGGCAGAAGTATGTTTCCATAGAGCCATTTCAGAAACTGTTGAAAATTCTGCCTTAATCTCAAGCTAAAATTCATTCAATGATTTAAAAAAATATATTTTATTTATTTATTTTTAATTTTATGTGTATGCGTGTATTGCCTACATGTAGGTAAGTGCGCCTGTGTCGTGCAGTGCCCGTGGAGGACAGAAGAGGCTGTTGGAACCCCTGGAACTGGAATTACGGACAGTTGTTAGCTGCCATGTGGGTGCTGGGATTCAAACCCGAGTCTTCTGCAAGAACACTCAGTGCTCTTAAGTGCTGAGCCATCTCTCCAGCCCCATTTAATGATTTTTTAAAAAATTAAACCCATCAGCATTCAAACAGCAATTTTAAAAATTAAGCATTCTAACACAGTTCAATCCAAAGATATACTAATTTGATACCTGCTGAGGAATGACAGACTATAGAATATCAAAATTATTATTATTATTATTGTTTGTTTGTTTGAGACAGGATCTCCCTGTAGTCCCAGCTGGCTTGGAACTTGGCCAGGCTATTTCACCACGATCCACCTGCCTCTGCCTTCTGAGTGCTGGGATTAAAAGCTTGTGTCACCACGCCCTAATAGTAATAGGCTGTTTTCTATAACCAAACCATTGTGTTTCTTGATTTGTTTTTTTTTTTTTTTGATCTTTTTGAGACAGGGTCTCCCTGTAGCCCCTGTTGGCCTGGGACTATGTATATCAGGCTGGCCTTGAACTCACAGAGATCCACCCAGGGCTACCTACATGCTAGCAAGACTCTACCATCTGAGTTATATCTCCAGCCTCCATTGTGTTTCTTTTTTTGCCCCCATTATGTTTCTTTAACAGCAGAAAACATTGCATGTACAGTAAAAACACTGGTTTATAACATATAGTCTCAAATCTGAGCCGAAGTTTTGGGTATGACAGAATGGGCTGTGCAAAGTGTATAAATTGTATTCAGAACCAAGGATTCTGTGAAGTTATGAGATGCAATACAGATGAGCATTTGATTCTGAATTAATTTTTGGTTGTTATATATTCAGAAACCTTTTATTGCTGCTAAATTTTTCATGACTCCCATATTCGATATGGTCTCCCTTGTCCCAGCCAGATTGGAAGTCACTATGTGAAATAGGCTGGCCTTGATCTCAGAGATCCATGTCCCTTTGCCTCCTGAAGGCTGGAATTAAAGGCACATGACTCCCACATTCTGATATGAGACCCCATATGAGGTCTTGACCTACAACGAGCTGTGATCCATGTCCTGGTTTCTGAAACAGACCTATAGAAAGCAATACTTGATTCAGGTTAGGGAAGAGTGCCAGAAAACTTCAGAATAACTGTACTGAAGCATAATTAGGAGTGAGTAGGGTAAACAGGGAGGGCTGGAAAGGTAACAGGTAGAGCAGGATGTGTGTGACTTGTCTGACCAATACAGAGTGCAAAGGGCTGTTCCCTCTGAGGACCTAGGCAGACCATTTCATTAATGCAGTCTAAGGAAGATTACTTTGCTTTTTTTGAGCATGCCAAGACATTGTCCTCTTATTTTAAGGACAGTATATTCTGATTAATGATATTAGTAAATAGTTTATGAACCAATACTGAAAATTATAAGAATTAGAAACTTCTAAGTTTTGCTGATCTTTTTTATTTAAAAATCATTTCAACTAACACAAATTTGCATCTAAAATTCTAAGTGTAAATAATAACTATATGATTAGCCCTTCTGTGCCTAACCTTTCCTAAATAGCATGCTTGGTGCCCATGTTACCTTGTCAGTTTTCCGCAGAGATACTACCTGAGGTTTTCTTGAGACTTTGCTTAAACCTGTATTATCAGAAATTAGATCCCAATGATGATCTTGTTTTTGTGTTTTTCCTTCTATTATGCTAAAGTCTTTGAGGGTGGAGAATTTTATCTAGAATAGAGTCTGACATTTGGGCTGAGGATATACTCAGTGGTAGACTGCTTGCCTAGTATGCTCAAGGCACTGGATCTTAATCCTTAGCATGCCAAAACAATGTAATGGACCTGACATTTAATAGGGATTCAATAAATGTCTGCTAAAATAAATGATATAGCATCCAAAGGAAACATGGCATCTGGTACAAATTCCTAGATGTGAACATGATGTAGAGTCAAATAGACATGTATTAAAGTCTACACCAGTTAAATTACACGCTCTCATTTTGTTTGTTTTGTTTTGAGGCAGCATCTCACTCTGTAGCCCAGGGTGACCTTGAATTAGGACTCTCCCTGTCATAGTCTTCAGAGTATTAGAATTACAGTAGTGCACCACCAAGCTCAGCATTTAATCTCTTTAAGTCAGAGTTCCTCAACTGTAAAATTGGGAATAATGGCAACTACTTCTTAGGGTGGATATCAGAATTTACTTAATGAAGAAATATCTATGAAGCAAGTCATAATACTTGACACCTTATGCTCCTTTTATTACTGTTTTGATACTTAGCACATATATCTAAAATATATAATGTATAGAAATATAAAGAATGCCAAAATAGTTCCATATAGGCTAGAGAGAAAAGAATCATACACAAGACAGAGTAACAAGCAATACAAACAAGGTACACAGAGTGATCAAACAGGAAGGCCAGACCATGAATGCTTTGAAGGGAGATGCTTAGGAAGCTTTCTCTTGTAAGGTCTTTGGGTAGGAATGTCAAGAAAATGAGTATGAGGGGCAGGTGTTGTCACCGAACATTTGTAAACAGGTTCCTAACATAGTATTTATTTCTATTCATTCATTTTAAAATGCAACTATAGCACTTATTCTGTGCCAGACATTGTTCTCAGTGCTTTACAAATGTTAACTCATGGAGCTGAAGAGTTGACTCAGCAGTTAAGGGCATTGGCTACTCTTGTAGAGGACCCAGGTTCCATTCCCAGCACTCACATGGAAGCTAACAACCATTCTTGACTACAGTTCCAGGGGATCTAATGCCCTCTTCTGACCTCTGTGGGTATTGCATGACATGGGTGCACTTACATACACGCAAGCAATATACACATATACATACAACAAAAATAATATTTTTAAAAAACCCAAATGCTAACTCATTTAACTCTCAAATAACTTGTGAAGTAGATGTACTACTGTTGATATTACTTTACAGTAGGAAAACTGGGGCCTTGAGAAATGAACCTGTCCATTTAGACAGCTCTGGAAAGTAAGTGGCAGAGCCAGGACTTAAACTACCTGGAAGCTTGTTTCTACAGTCTATGCTTTAACTAGTATACTATGTTTTCTGTAAGGCAAGTGGAACTTTAAGAGGACTCAGCTAAGATAAGGTAATGGGATACCTATTCGGGAAGCAGCTATGCTTACCATTTACTACTAATGCCATACCAGGGAAACCGTTTTGGAAAGGTAGTACAGTTAGTTATCCAGGTCTGGAGTATTGATGATTTAAAATAAGATAGGGGAAACAGGAATGAAAAAGAAAGGGCAAATTTAAGTACATTAGACATAAAAGCGAGACAAAGAAAGGCAAGTTTCCAATCCCTCTGTTGTTCATGTGATTCATCCCTTGTGCCCCTTATGACTTATTTTTCATCTTGAGATGAAAAAGGTGTCAATGTCTGATCTTTTCTATTCTCAGATTTGGTTTGCAGAGTGAACATTTTCATGGAGTATGCCAAATCATTTTCATCCATTACCTGTTTTATTTCTTCTGCAGTTTTGTCTTTCACCATCGCAATGTTAAAGATTGAACTGAGAGTCTTGAAAGAAGAAATATAAAGCAATTAACATTGATAATTTAAACTACAACAGCAACAACAGTCCCAGATAAATTCTGTCTTTAAAGCCCCATGGAAAGGGATATCAACATAAAGAAGCAGACCTTCAACTGAAGTATAGAATAAGCAGAAAAAAAATCCTCATATGCTCAGAGAATGTGAGCTGCCAGCCCACACACTTTCACAGGTCTATTCCTGGGGAGTGTCTATTAGGTCATCATGCACTTCTCAAATGCTTCAGCTCTTACCAGTGAGTGTCCTGCAGCACTTTGCAGCTGGTAAAAAAGGAGAAACCTTGGCTATTGATTTACCAGCGCAGCTCCTTATTTGTAAGATAAGGGGCAAACCAAATATGGTGTTTTAATTTTCTTTTTTTTTTGGTCTTTTTGAGACAGGATCTCCCTGTAGCTTCAGCTAGCCTGGAAATCACTATGTAGACTAGGCTGGCCTTGAACTCACAGAGATCCACCTGCTTCTGCCTCCTGAGTGCTGAGATTAAAGGCAAGCACCACCACGCCTGGTGGTGTTTTGATTTTTAAAGTTATTTTCTGTGGGAAAAAATGTCACTACATTTCCTTCAAATTTCCTCTAACATCCTTAGACCCATACTTAAGCTAGGGGTCATGTCAAGGACACAAAAATCCAGAAAAATATTCCTCATTTCTACCATTGGAAAAGTCACCTTACAAAAATCAGTGAACACAGTAAACAGGTGTTCCATATGATCAGACTAATATAATTAGAAACCTACCTTGTCCTTAGTGAATCCTTTGCTCATAGGCTGTTTCCCTAAGGCATCTGTCTAAAATACAAAATGAGATAGGAAATTCAGCTCTACTTACTCATAAGAAAAAGAAAACCAAGCTACTGAGGCAGCCAATCTCGTAACTTTGCATCTGAGAACTCACTTCTCTCAGCTCTTTATAACAACTGTACATACTATTCTAAAGATTATTGTTTATCAGACAATTTTTCCTTATTCTAAGATTCTGAGATGTAGAGATGAGAAAGGGTTTGTTAATGTTAATAATCATTGCAACCCAGTACTGGGAGTTTACAGCTGCTACTGTGAACGATTATGAAGGAACAGGAAGGATTCCTTCTCAATTCATTCTTTTTGGGTTTTCTGTCCTTGGTTCTCTGACCTATTCCATACTAGCCGTGGAGGAGGTGAGAAATGAAGGATGTGTTTTCTAAGACTGCTTATCTCTGACATCACCTCTGATGGTAGGTGTCCTCAGCATACTAGAGTCTTTTTGAGTCTTCAGTTCCTCCATTAATTAGACTTCCTGTGATGGCTAATATTCCTTGTCACATTGATTAGTCTGAAAGATGCCTAGGGATTTATAAAGTATACCTCTGGGTTTGTCTTCCAGACACTTCCAGAGATGATTAGATGATGAGGGCTCGGATCTAATGAATGGATTAATTCCTTGTTGGATTCATAATATTATGGATACTGAGAAGTGATGAAAAGTAGAAGGTGGGACCCAGCTGGAGGAAGTCTGTTATGAAGGGCATGCCCTTAGGGGCTCTATCTTGTCCTGGCCCCTTCCTATATCCCCTTTTCTCTGCTTCCTGGGCCTAGAATGTGGACTGCTTTACTCTGTTATGCCTTCTTTGACATGATGAGCTGAAACTCCTGCACTATGAGCTAAAATAAATCCTTCTTCACCTGGGTTATTTATGTCAGGTATTCTGGTCACAGACAAACAATAATAACCAATACACTTCCTCTCTAAAAAGGCTAGGAACTACTGAAAGTGGTTCCAACATGGTTAAAGTCTCTCCCACTCCAATTTGTTCTGTGCACTTCCCCAACTTGAAGTTTCCAAATTATAGGTTATAAAATCAATTCAGTGGATTGTCACCAGAATTTTTTAGAAGATGAAAAATAAGAATATACTAACCAGGCATGGTGGTTCACACCTGTAATCCTAGCACATGGGAGGTTGAAGTAGGAGGACTGCTGAGAATTTAAGAGGGGCTACAGGGCCTGGAGAGATGGCTCAGCAATTAAGATCACTGACTGCTCTTGTAGAGGACCCGGATTCAATTCCCAGCACCCACATGACAACTATGAACTGTCCTTAACTCCAGTTCCAGGGGAATCCGAAGCCTCTTCTGACCTCCACCGAATTGCACGGCATGGGTGCACTCACATACATGCAGGCAATACAGTCGTACACATAAAATAAAAATAATAAAATTAAAAAATAAAAAAGGAGGGGCTACATAGTAAGTTCTAGAACAGCCTGTACTGAAGACTGAGAACCTGCCTAACAAAAGAAAAAGAATACACTATATGTCAGAGGAGCACTGTTTCATAAAAACTTCACTTGTTATTGCATACACACATATACCAAATTGCAATATAAATCTATTTCTTACTGTGAACCATGGTCAAAAATTTGAAAAACATTTTATTAATCTTCCTACATACAGCTTTCCACATATTTTTTCCTAGGTTTGGTTAAGGATAATGACTAATAATACATTAAGTTCTTGTTATATGCTAGGGACAGTGTTAAGTCTTGCATGATACTGTTTAATCTTCAGCACAACTCTATGAGGTATTATTATTGTTCTTAATTCACAGGTAGGCAATGAAGGCACAGAGAAGTTATAATTCATTACCCAGTTGATAAGTGAAAGCTATGATTCAGTCCTTGGCATCTGGTCCCAGAGCCTACCTTCTTACCAAGTTACCCTGCCTCTGCTTCTTAAACTCAATTGCCTCAGCCTGTAGGTTAATACCTAACCTACTTCTTTAGCCTTGATTCTTCTTTCCACATTTCCTCTTCTCCCAGCCATGAGTATTCTAGTCAGTGGAGTTCTTGCAGGGCTCTGGTTATATAGAAATTGAACAAAGTACCCCACTGTGTTCCGAAATCAACTTCTTAAAGCTTTTCTTTTGTTTAAGCAAATTCCTTATCAAAAGGGTAAGAATGAAGTGTGCGGGAGGGAGTCAGTTATCACCAAACTAAATGCAGCCTACTGTTTTTGTTAATAAAGATTTATTAGACTATAACTATACTCATCCATTTATTCACTGTCTACTCTTGCTTTTGTATTATAATAGCAGAGCTTAATAGTTGCAACAGAGACCATATGGTCCACCATGATTGTTAATCTCCATTGTTAATTTGACAGGATTTGGAATCACCTAGGGGACACATCAAGAGGTATCTGAGGATTTAAAATAAGGGAGTTTCTAGGGAAGTTTAGTCGGAATGATAGACTGTAGGAGGTTTCCAGAGAGGTTTAACTGAGGAGGGAGATCTAACCTGAATGTGGGTGGCGTTACTATATAGGTTGGGTCCCCAGCTAAATAAAAAGAACATTAGCTCTTCTCTGCTTTCTTGTCAGCACAACAGATCAAGCAGCACTTGCTGCCATGCCTTCACCACTATGGTGGACTACATACCTCTGAATTGTGAGCCACAATAAACCCTTTCTCCTTGTTGCTTCTGGTCAAATATTTGGTCATATCAGCAGGAAAAGTAAAAAAAAAAAAAAAATACACCTATGAAGCCTAAAATATTTACTGGGTTTTTAAAACAGAAAATGTCTGATGATACTTGTTCTATTAAAGTCTCCTATTTAATTCACATTCCCCTGACTCTTACCAGCCTAGATCAGGTTCTAACTTAACTGAAAAATTTTGCTCGATCCCTATAGCCCAGTGCTATGTGTACCTTGATTTGATCACTAGACTGCACCCCTTGTGAGCTATGATTTAGTCCCTGGCATCTGGGATTACCCTTTCATGCCTCTATATCTCTACCATGGTTACAATATCTTGCTCAGGAAGAGTAGGACACACATTTATAAATGGAGGATGAGTAAAGCTCTGATGTCATCTGTTACTCCATCAACTAGCCCACTTCAAGGATAAAGGTTGGAGGGAAATATTGGGTAGTCGCTAGTAAGCTTACAACACAAAAAATCACTGGGGAGGCCTTACCTTCTGCTCCACACATTTGATAAAATCACCTTGCCTGGAGTGTCCCACTGGTTGCTTCCGAAACTCTTTGTGCTTCTCTAGTCGGGACTCAAAGGCAGCTGGGTCAGACCTGACCAAAGGTAAATCAAAGGGTAAAGCACTCTCTAGGCCCTTTAGCATTTTGAAATAAGAAAATATCATGTTCTACCTCTACAGAGAAGGACACAGGCACTCAGGAGGCTAAAGGGTTTGTCTCAGCAAGAACTGGATCTAAGCCTGAAAGTCAAGTGGAAAGCAAAGCCAGTTATTCAAGGGCTCAGTGTAACATTTTTCTTTTTTCCCCTTGTAGGCTATCCCCTTGGGTGACATAGGGCTTAGATTCTCAGGTACTTAAATACTATAGGTACTTAAGACTCCTCAAGGTGAGAAGGATACTTTAGGTCATCTTAGTCACCTCCTCAGGCAGGCATCCTTTAGCATGTCTACTGGGTGTCAAGGTTTTACTTTAAGATCTCTGACCTCTCCCTCTCCCTCTCCCCTCAGATCCTGGCAATTCACAGACTTTAAGCAGGTTCTTTTGAAGATTTAGAACTTGAGGGACACTCTAGCTCTTGGCTGTGAGACCTACAGTACCGTGGGTGAGGTCTGTAGAGCCAGGTACATCTTGGCTATCCTTTCTGGTAGACCTCCCAGACAAGGCATTATAGGAGGCTCCCTCTTCCATAGCGCTTCATTTTGGAAATGCTACCAAATATTACTCTCTTCATTGCCATATAGATGGGATGATCTTTTTCATTCCACTCAGAAGGACTAGGTCAGTCCAGACAGCAGCCACAGATACACAGATGCCTGCCATGGTGAATGTATGGAGAGCACAGGGCATTCTGGACAGCTGAGCTCTAGGGACATTGAAAATAGGTAAAACACAGTCCCTACTTGAAGAAGCTTACTACCTAGTAGGAGACAGATAAATAAATATGTACACAAGTGCCACTCATGATGAAAATTTGCTCAAAAATTCCTTAATGATTGAGGTGGTCCTGTGACTCTGTACTTTTGACTGTGTTGCTTCCCTTATTTGAAACACATCCCATTCTCTCCCTCTAATTAGAGCTAGACATAGACCATAGTACTCAAAGGAAGTTTTGATACTAGATAAGTCTGGACACTAAGTTTGGACATTATCCAGAATTCAATGGGGCACCCTGGATCATTCACTCTCAGGAATAACAGTCTGTCTAAATATTGATGGGAATGATCTAGTAAGGAAGGCGAGAAAAGCCATTATTTGTTCTTGAGTAAGAATGAATGGAACTGTTAAGTATTCAGAATGGGAGTAGACAACTCTTTGGAGATGCTTATAAAAGAGATCAAAGAAGCAGGATGTGGTGGTGCACGCCTTTGATTCCAGCACTCAGGAGGTAGAGGCAGGTGGATCTTTGTGAGTTCCAGGCCAGCCAGGGCTACACTTAAAAAAGAAAAAAGAAAAAAAAAAAAAAAAGAAAAAAGAAAAAAAAGGAAAAGTGAAACAGGTGGAGAGAAATGTAGGTTAAGAAATGATTTTAAAATGACAAATACTTGAAAATATCTAAATATTGTTTGAAGAAGAAAAGAACTCATTTACTCTCATTTTCTTGGTCCATCATTGCTTCAAAAAGCCAGAAAGATCACTATCTGTACTCACAGTGAAATGGACAAGGGTGAAGAGTTCTAAGACTGGAAGTGCTGGGCACTAGAGGAAGACACAGTCCTCATGGAGATGAAGGAGAAACTAAAGGGGTGAACTCAGATGAGATAGAGTGCAGAGACAATTTGGTTTCCTTTCATAACTGCCTTCAACCCCCCTGGCTCCTTTTGAACTTCAACTTTTGCACTTGAACTAGGCCCCCAGTACACCACCTTCTCTCTCTCCTCTCTCTCTCTCTCTCCCTCTCTCTCTCTCTCTTTCTCTCTCTCTCTCTCTCTCTCTCTCTCACACACACACACACACACAGTGCTGGGGATGGAGATGAAACCCAAGGCCTGTGCATACTACATAACGGTTCTTCCACTAAACTACACCCCTTCCAATCTCCTGATTTTACCTTCTGGAAGCTGAGTGGTGACGTCAGGAAAACTGGCCAAATCCTAACTAGCCTCTACTTCTCTCCAGACTTGTTTCATTACTTTAAGGAAAGGGTTCAATTTATGCGCCAAATGTGAAAGACACTATTATTGTCTGCAGCGTTTTTCTTCCCCCAAGGCTCCTTCCCATGCAGTCAAGGCCCTATGCCAGGAGCCTGGGAACCTGAACTTCGGGCCAGGTATCCACTGATTCAACATGTGACCTTGAACAGGTCAAGTTCTTTCCCTGGAAGGCTTCGCTTTCACATATAGGGGACAAATCTCTCTGAGCTGCTTCCCTCAGAGCTGTCAAGGGTCCACCTACGTTGTGAGAACTGAAGCACGAAAAGACAACAGTGGAAGAGCCCAGGGCTCGGCAGAGGCTAGCCCTTACGCAGGTGTCCTGACCTGAGCCTTGAAACGCACTTCTGGTAGAGTGGGGACAGTAGTAGCGCCCACCAAGCAGGGAAGTCTTAAAGGCCCAGGAGCCCAGGCCGCGCGCCGCCAGCCTGTCCCTACCCGCACCATGCTGTGGGGGCCGCACCTGCGCAGCTGCTGGATCTTATCCCGATAGCGGTCGTAGTAGGGGTTGGCTTCCAGCTCCGCCCCGACCCCGCTGCCGTCCGTGCCCCCAGAGGGCCGGCCAGAGCAGCGGCGCACCGGGAACACGCGCAGCTGTGCGGGTGACACGAACCCCAGCCCCAGGGTGCGGCTGCGCACCGCACACAGGCCCCGGTAGAGGCCGGCCACCTGTAGGACCGCCGGGCCCGCGCCACCCGCAGCGGACACCACGGCCGCCATAGCCGCCTGCTTCGCCTTCTCCTCCTCCGGCGCGTCGGCCTCGGCTCCCGGCCCGCGCGCCTGCTCCATCGCCTTCCAGGTCCGCGACGCCCGGGTTTCGCCACCGAGGTTCCGTGCGCTCAAGGTTCCGGGCGCCGAGAGAAGCGGGACAGGGGTACAGGAAGGGGCTGGCGGCCCCCGGCCCCGCCCGCGAACTCTGGCGGTTCCGTGGGTGTCACGGCGCGTCTCCTCCCGGGAGACTGCCGGGATTTACGTCTTCCCTCGGGACCAGCAGCCTCTGCGTGCCAAGTCTCTGGAAATCCGGCTAGGACTTTAGGGTTCTCACTGTACTTGCTCCTTTCCAAATTTACTTGGCACTCGCTGTACCAGTCAGTCCCTTCAGCCGCAAAGGATGTTTGATCATCATCACATATGCAGCTTTACTGAGGTTTCTGTCTGCAGAACATTTCATTGACCTCATAGCCCTTGAAACAGGTATTCTCGTTTTACAGATGAGGAAACCAAGCTGTGGCTGCGAGTGTTTAAAGTCCCAAAAGCCAGCACCTTTTAAGATGGCAATGCCTTAGAAGCCTATTTGCTTCAGCTTCCTGGCGTCCGATTGGAGCTTCAGCCAACGCTCCTCCCTTCAAAGAGACACTGGGAACTGTCCTTGACAAATCTTATTTAGCTCCCCCCACCCCTTTTCATCCTTTGGTTCTCAACAATGTCACCATTTTCTTCACTTCCTGAACCAAATGTGAGCTTAGGGGTGGTGACATCAATATCTGTCTCACCTTCTCCCAGTGTGAGTGGACCCTTTGTGAGGGCAGTCATTAGTTTGCCTTGCATGGAAGTCCTTACCTGAGTCTTTGTTGATAGGAACCGGTCTAGAGACAAGGATAGACTCCCAGCTCTGCTCAATACAGCCTGTGCTCGGATATCAGACTCACCATTGCCGGGAGACTGCTGGTCTGCACTTGGCTCAGGATTCTTGTACTTGTTTCCTCTGCCCAGGTATGCATCCACTTCATCTTGGGCTCAGTTCACATCTCAGCACCACAAAGGGACCTTTCTGATGAATCTTTGCCTCATTAAAAAAAATTGTGTGTGTGTGTGCGTGTGTGTGTGTGTTGGGGTGAGTGGGAGGCACATCAGCCACAGCACTTTTGTGGAGATCAGAAAACAGTTTTGTGGAGTTGGGTCTCTCCTCCCACCTTTATCGTGGGTTCTGGGGGTTAAATGCAGGGCACAAAGCTTGGATGACAAGTGCTTTTACCCTTTCCATCCCTTTATAGTCTATTTTCCTCTATTTCCTCTGTGATTTCACGCTATTCTTTTCACAGAAATTATCACTGTCCAAAATTCTTTAGAATCTTGTTTACATTATTTCATGGAGTTTGCATTTCAGTGGAAACAGATAAGTGACAATGTATGCTATGCAGAAAAACAAAGGAAGATAAGAAAGACACAGATAGGACACCCAAGCAGAGACCTGAAGGAAGTGAGAGAAACAACTGTATGATACTTGTAGGAACAGACTTCAAGCTAAGGAGAGCAGCAAATGCAAAGTTCTGATGCAGGCGCAAGCTTACACAGCTGTGGAACAATAAGGTTATCTCAGTGGGTGAGGGGATAGAGCTAGAGATGAGACTGAGTTGGGTGGGTGGAGGGGTTGGTTAAACTGTGCAGGGCTTTGGAGGCCTGCCTAAAGGACTGGTTTTCAATCTAAGTGAGATGAGAAGTCACTGTAGGTTTTGAGCAGAGGAGTAACAAGATTTACTTTTCAAAGGCTTATTCTGGCTGCTAGTGGAATTCAAGGTGTGTGGGAGAAATACAGAGTTCTTCTAAGGGTGATCAATTTGTCTTACTTTTAACCTAGGATTAAGATAACTTTAATAGACTAGCAAGGAAGGACATCAACCAGGTTATTGGGTCTAAAGTTCTGAGGTGTGTTCCAGGTTGGAGATACAAAGTTATGAATTGTCAATGCATTTGTTATTTAATGTAACAAATATGGATAAGGCCACAGAGAAGGGACTATAGATAGAATGCTAAAGAATGAATTCTGGAGCATGCCAACACATAGACATCAGGCTAAAGAGGAAAATACCAGTCAAGAATGAAAAGTAGAGAACAGTAAGGTAGAGCCAAGGGAAAATGGACCTTGGGGAGAAAGAACTCTGTGTAAATAGTGTCTGTTATGGTTTGAATCTGAAATGTCCCCAAACAAGTTCATGTTTTGAACACTTGATTCCCACCTGTTGGCACTATTTTGGGAGGCTGTGGAACCCTTAAGAGGTTGGGCAGAAGAAGGTCTCAAGGGTCAGGACTTCGAAGGTTGTAGACCAGATACTGCCTCTGGCCCTGCTCTCTGCTTCTTGCCTGCTATGATGTGATTGGCTGTCTTTCCCTTGACCCCGCCATGCCATGATGTTCTGCCCACCCACATGGGGCCAAGCAACTATGGGCTGAACCATGAATCGAACTAAACATTTCCTCTTTAAATTGTTTCTATCTGGCATTTGAGTCACAGAAACACAAGTAACCAACAGTGTCCTAAGTCACACACTGGGAAACTATAAAGAGGAGAGTAACTAAATGATGCAAGAAGTCAAGTTAGGAGCAGTTGGCAGGTTCTACTGGGAGCTAACGTGGTTTGATAAACAGCTTTCTAATGGAGCTGTCCATTAATCCATCAAGCTCAAGAGGTGATGAGACTCAAATGAGTCTTGGGGAATTGGTTGCTGGGTAGGTAAGACTTGCCCCAACAAGGCTCAGGCATTTGGTGGGAGTTGGACTAGACAATTCTTCGTCTCTTCAACTGGAGAAGTGATTTCTGGGAAAATGACTGATGGAGCTGGGGAAAATATGTAGGTGTTCAGTGGTATAAGTGTGGGAAGAAACACTCCTGGGTGAGGGAACAGACTGAATAGAATTCTTGAGAGGTATGGGGTAGGAGGGGACTGTTGGGGAGTCTGGCCTGGCCAGAGGGAACAGAGAATGAAGGATAAGAAGGGAGGTTAGGCTGGAAAGGGCTGTAGGATCAGATAGAGGGAAGCTCCAGGAGGGTGCAAAGAACACTTGCTAGTACTTATTGAAGGAAGGAAATGAAATAAGAGATTGTAGAAGCCAAAGCAGGTGCTGACCACTTGGTTCCCTTCAGCAGATTTTCTTCTGACAATTTGGGTCTGAGATTTATTGAGGGCAAGTAGGCCCACTGTTGGGGCTGGAGAGATGGCTCAGCGGTTGAGTACTAGCTGTTCTTGCAGACCAGGGTTCAAATCTCAGCACCCACATGGCAGCTAACAACTGTCTTTAACTCCAGTTCCAGGGGGATCCGACACCCTCTTCTGTCCTCCGTGGCACTGCATGACACAGGTGCACGTTCAAGCATGCAGACATAATACACACAAAATAAATAAAAGTTAAAAAGGAATGTCCAATGTTGAGTGCTCTCTACCTTAATCCTCACTGGGGAGGGTACCTAGCAGTGTGTCCTTAATCATCAACAACATGGGGTAAGCCCCTTGAGGATGCAAGGGGCCTTTCCTGGGGCCTGCTCTATGGCTTTACCATACAGATGAGGACAGACAGCTCTATTAGTGGATCAGTCTTTGATAGAAGTAGTGGGTACACATTGCTTATTAGTTGTCATGGATAGAGTCTCTCTATCCCACTAACTCAGGACTACTCCACAAGCACTGCCCATGGAATGCCCAGTTCACAGAACCTGGTGACCTTTCCTTTAGAGAACAATGAGGTCCAGGCCTTCTGAGGACTCCTATTGGAGGAGAGATGAGTGGGTGAATTTCCTCTCCCCAGAGCAACACACTGGGTGCCAAAACTGAACTTTATGGATTCCCAACAGGAGGACCTGAGCAATGAAGCCCAGGGCCTTCTGAGGACTCCTATCGGAGGAGAGATGAGTGGGTGAATATCCTTTCCCCAGAGCGACAGGCTGGGTACCAACGCTAAACTTTATAGATTTCCAACAGGAGGGTTTGAGCCTCCCTGGCAGTAAATGCATCCCCAGTCCCTGCCCCTCGCTTTGTGCCTTTAGGCACAGGGACAAATACTTAGGGACGACCCTTTGCATGGGTGGAGTGGTGGTTGCTTGCCTGAAGAACTAAACAGTTGGAAGATAACCTCATCTAGAAAAATAAGGATTCCTTGAAGGCTGACTGAGTTTGCATGGGCAAGTCATACCACTTCTAGACCTACTGTTTCTTACCTGTACAGTTAAAATGACCTCTTTAGTAACCTGGAAATCTATTATTGACCAAGAAAGGACAAGTCTATGGGGGGTGGGGAGAGTTGAGTGTGTAAGTGGATAGAGTGACTGATGACTAGGTCAAAAAGAGGAATGAGAAACAGCTCAGGCCCTAAGCTAGAGCATTAGCCAGCCTCCTTTTTCTTTCTTACTGCCTTAGTGTGGATCTCCCTGTACTTTGGATTCCTGGGGCTGTGTTCTGTGGTAGCAGGCGGCTGCATTCTCTTTCTGCACTGGAAGAAGAACTTGCAGTGGGAAGAACGTGCCCATCAGTGGGTAGAGGTGATGAGAGCAGCCACGTTCACCTACAGTCCACTGGTGTACTGGATAAACAAGCGACGTCACTATGGCATGAACACAGACGTTAACACTGGCCATCCCCCTGCTGGCACCAAGACTGAGACTCCAGTCCAGAATCCAGGTTCTTTGTGGGAATTGGATATCCCTGAAGGCAGGAGCTATACTGTGCAAGACAGCAGCCCCACGGTTGAGGCCTCTCATCCCCTGCAACCTGTCCTGGCAGTCCCACAGCAGTCCCTGCCTTCACAAATACCACAGCCCCAGAATGGCTCCCCACTCCCAGTTCCCATCTTTCAGGAGGTGCCCTTTGCCCTATCCTTCTACAACCTACCTCCCATGCAGAACCACTCTGTCTCCTATCCTTTGGTCAACTGTCCTGAAAGGAATATTCATTTCTATTCCCTCCCAACAATGGCCCATGGAGCGAACTGCTTCAATGTCAAGCCTTTTGCTTCAGAACTGTAGTCTCCTCTTATTGAGCATGGGAGCAGCAGGTAACAAAAGCATAATAGAAAACAGAGCTGACCTCAAGGAGGTGGTATTGACATAGAGGTCAGGGCCCTCTGGATGTCACATTATGAAAGATTAAAAAAAAAGTCCAAGTCTCTCTTCAGTCTTATTTGCTCCTAGAAGGACAATGTCTTTCTTATTTGATGGTGGCAAGTTGCAAATCAAGCTGATTGTGAGCCTTATGATACATATGGGAACTGGAGGTTAGCTTTTGGGAGACATACTGAACCAGTAGTTGTAACTGGACTCAGTATCCCTCCACCTTAGTATTTAAGCTTGAATGTGTGCCAGGCCCTGGCCTAGGTTCCCAAATACACTGTTCTGTAGGATGGGAAGCACAGATGCACAAGAGGCCAGCTGCTGAAGGCACAGAACTATGGCAGTCCACAGTGGCTGTCGTAGGCCAAACACACTCCACTACCCTAGAGGCTGAATGGCTATCTGCCACGTGTTGATTCTTAGCTGGTTGTCTTTATACTTTATTTCTAATATTCCCAAGAACACTGCCAAATAGCCGTCATGACCCTCTTATAGATGAAGACACAGGTTCCAAGAGTGTATGTATACCTTTCGGTTGTTCCAGAGCCAGTTCTCCAGTTTACATTTTTTCTGGTATCTAAGTTCATAATCTATCATATCTCATGGTGTTTTTCCCCTAATCATGTCTTGTTAGAACAGTTAGTGTGTGTGGGTTGTCATTAACTTGGTTGACAGACTGGCTAGTTGGTGTACCCTCTAAAATGACAAAGAAATACACCTGTAGTTTATATTTGATTCTACCTTTCCTTCCCCTTCCCTTCCTCCTCCTCTCCTGCCCTCTTTTCTGACACAGAGGCTCACTGTGCATTTCAGGCCAGCTTGGAACTTATGTGTCCCAGACTGCCCTCAATCTCCTGATCCTGTCTTCTGAGCGCTGGGTTTATAGGCCTGTGTCCCCACACACGGTCTTTTCAAAAGTGAAGATCTACACAGGGATGTTAAACATTTCCATACCTTCTGAAAACAGTCCTAACAGGACTAACAAATACTCCCAGCTTTAAGATTAGAAGGACTAACTCAGTCACTGAATGTAAAATTTTTCTTTTCATTCTGCCCCCCGCTTCCAGTGCTGGGATTGAACCCAAGTTTTTATACATGCTAGGCAAGTACTCTATCACTGAAATATATCTCCAGCCCTCCTTTTCACTTTGGAAATGAGTAAACCTGTTTATAAATGATAAAAGCGTTATGTATAAACTTCCTTAAGGGGAAGGGCCACTCAGATTTTGTGCATGTATAGTGAGAAGAGGCAAGGGGAATCTCAGAAGTTAGTAAACACATGGAGTTAATTTTTTCTTTTGTATGGAAAAGTCCTAGTCCTGTCTATCTGACCTCTCTCTTGCGATGGATTTTAAGCTTTTTTTTTTGTATTTTTTAAAGTCAATAGAACAACAAAAAAGCTCTTTTAAATCAACTTTCAAAGTATCAAAGAGCTTCTGTGGTGGACGCCAGAGCAATCTCTGGTCTTTCGTTTTGCTCCCTCTCATTCTACGCATACCTAAAGCCCGAGCCTTCACTGTTTCAAACAGAATTCTTTCATGCTATTTTGTTTTAAAATTACCTACTGAGTGTCATTAGTGCTGCTTATCAGGAACAGGAGGCAAGGGGTTGTCTACGGGAGTATGGACACCTTACCAGGCTACACCACTGAAGAAAATAACTCCCTTTTCCAAAAACCATTAACTACATATAAATTCTTAGGGAGGATTAGGGCCTCATGAGCTCCTCCCTCCCACAACAGCCCAATTGTGTGCAAGTAGTCACAGCTGTGGAGTTTGAGTGCAACGCTCACATCAAGCCCAGAAGTCAGTGTTCCATGCCATTCTCACTTCCTTTAGCTTTTACATTCCTCCTACCCTTCTATGATGTTCCCTGAGCCTTGGAAAGGATATACAGATGTCTCATTTATGGATAGGAATTTACTTTTATTTTTTTTCGGTCTTTTTGAGACAGGGTCTCCCTGTAGCCCCAGCTGTCCTGGAACCCACGATATGTAGACCAGGCTGGCCTTGAACTCACTGAGATCCACCTGTCTCTGCATCCCAAGTGCTGGGACTAAAGGTGTGCACCACCACGCCTGGCTGCATTTACTTTTGATTGGCGATGAGCCTCTGCAGTACGGCCTATGACCTCCCCAGTGACAGGCTTTAGTTTGGGCTTACAGGTACTAGTCATGAGCTCCCTCTTGTAGAGAAGGCTTCAAATCCAATCAGAAACAAGTTGATTATCCCTGTAACAGACTTGCCACTTGATTGCACCAGTGGGTACATCTTGTCTGGTTGGTCAGCAGTGTTGCATGCAGGTCCACAGATGAGACTCCTCCTCCAGCAGCCTGCTGGGTCCTTCTGGAATTACGATGGGTAGCCAGCTGTCCAGTCCAAGGTAGATTTCTCTATATCTTGTGACCCTAGTGTGTAGTATCTTCAGCAAAAGAGCCTTACCATCTAGTTCTGATGGGCAACCAACAGCAGTGGCAATTGTTTTGGGACCCTTAGGAGCCTCCCTGAAAAAGTACTGTAATTTTTTTTTTTTTTTTGTCTCTTTGAGACATGGTCTCCCTGTAGCCCCAGCTGTCCTGGAATTCACTATGTAGACTAGGCTGGCCTTGAACTCACAGATATCTGCCTGCCTCTGCCTCCCAAGTGCTGGGATTAAAGGTGTGTGCCACCACACCCAGCCAAAAGCACTGTAATTCTTAAGGCAGATACTTGAAACTGCTTTTTGTCCACCATCTAATAGACCTTGATTTCAAGAGGAAGTAGTGGTCCATAAAAATAGGAATCAAAGAAGTTTTTCCCCTTAATAGCCAGGGAGTGGGGAAGGCTTTATTAAGACACAGTGAGAGAAGGAAATGTTTTATTTAGATAAATTAAAATGGCAATATTGTTGATATGAAATAAGTAAAGCTCAAATCAAATCATAGAAACCTTGAATTTACTCCCTAAACAGAACCAAAATCGCTTATACATTACTAAAATAGCTCCATTAAAACGAAGTAGATTTACATTTCTTAATATGAGAAAACAACAAGGTAAGTTAGGTTCATATAACAAACAATACACGCTCTATAAAGCCTCAGGAATACCCAAATGTGTTTTGGTTTGAATATGAGAGAAGGGACCACATCTAGCTGGTGTTGGTAAGCAAGCCAATGAGGTGTGTAGCAAACAACAGCTGTCACTAAAAACAACTCAATAGGACATTATGAGTATGAGCCCATCACAGTCAAAATCTTCAACTGTGACCATCAGGACCAGCAATGGGGTGGGAGGCAGATGGGGCTATGTCCAGCAACTGCAATGGAAAGTTAAATAGCCAGCAGTAAGGTAAGGGCATCCACTCCTCAGCTTTTTTTGCATTAGACCCATTCCTGAGTGCCAATCATCTTTCTGTTCTTTAAATGACACTGCAGTTATCTGGAAGTGGGTACTTTTTCTGAGACAAGATCTCACTATATAGTCGGATAGGACTGGAACTCATATTCTTCCTGCCTCTTAAGGGCTAGGATTACAGGCATGTACCACCATGCCTAGCTTGAGGAAGCTCTTTAAGTAAATATTATGCCAGACAGTATAAGGAAACAGAACAAATGACGAAGAAACAGTGCTTTAGGACAATTAGGAAAGAAGCACTAAGAAGTACTAGACTGAAAAAAAAGGTCAAAGGATTTAAATCCAAAGCCAAACTCACTACCACTATCCAATCTTGGGTCAACACAACACACTGGTTCTATTAAGTTAGGACAGTATAAAAACAAAAACCCAAGCCAGGCATGGTGGCACACGCCTTTAATCCCAGCACTTGGGAGGCAGAGGCAGGCGGATCTCTGTGAGTTCAAGGCCAGCCTGGTCTACATAGGGAGTTCCAGGACAGCGGGGGCTATAGGGAGCCCCTGTCTCAAAAAAACCAAAAAAAAAAAAAAGAAAAAAAGAAAACCCCCAAATCTACACTGAGTTTTTTTGAGGGGCTCTTAAGCCAGCGAGTCTGTTCAACTTAAAAAATTATTTATTTTTATTTTATGTGTATGAGTGTTATGCCTGCATGTGTATAAGTGCACCCCTGTCATGCAATGCCCATAGAGGACAGAAGAGGGCATCAGATCCCCTGGAGCTGGCATTTCTGACAGTTTTTAGCCACCATGTGGGTACTGGGATTTGAACCTAGGTCTTCTGCAAGAAAAGCCAGTGCTCTTTAACTGCTGAACCATCTCTCTAGGCCTGAGTCTGTTCAACTTTTAATAGAGTGGAGATATCTATCTCTGCCCAGGAGATCTAGTAATATATTAGGCAGGATGACAAGGGTATCAACAGGCCAGGTATTATGGGTCCTCTGATAGACTTGGAAGGAGAGAGAATGGGACAACATATGGTGTAAGGGTGATGCTGGTAGACAAACTTGAGGTGGGTAGAACAGAAGCAAAACTTAAAACGACAGCTGGGCATGGTGGCACACGCCTTTAATCCCAGCACTTGGGAGGCAGAGGCAGGCAGATCTCTGTGAGTTCGAGGCCAGCCTGGTCTACATAGCAAGTTTCAGGTGAGCTGGGGCTACAGGGAGATCCTGTCTCAAAAAGACCAAAACAAAAAACAAAAAACACAAAAAACACAAAAAACTTAAAATGACAAAAAAGGGCTGGAGAGATGGCTCCACAGTTAAGAACACTGGTTGTTCTTGCAGAAGACCCAGGTTTGAATCCCAGTACCCACAGGGCAGCTAACAACTCTCAGTTAACTCCAGTTCCAGGGGATCTGATGGCCTCTTTTGACCTCCACAGGCATTGCACAACATGGATGCACTTACCTACATTCAGGCAATACACGCATACACATAAAAATAATAAATAGTAAAAAAAAAAACCGAAGAAAAACCCAAACCCCCTGACATGTCCGTAGACAGCTACTGGATGAAAAAGAAAAGTATATACCACAAAGAGTTAAGGTGTCCTGAAAGCATCTACCTACAAATAACAACTTGAAACTAAAAAGGACAAGCTACATTACCCTCAGTATATTTCATATAAATCAGTTCTCAAAAAAGAAAAAACCTTCCAGATACAGACATACTATTTATGGTACAATATCTACAAATATAGCAAAATAATTCAATTTATTGCTAGAATTTTATTTGGTTGTTACAAAATCTCTAAGGGCACATATATTAAAAGAAGGGGGGTATGGAAGGCATCCAGAAGAACAAGAGTTATCTTCAAGTTACCTAAAGTGCCAGGATAATTTTAAACTCTATTTTCAACTTTTCCAAGAAAGTGAAATAGTACAGATGAGCAAGGGAAATGTTAAAGCAAAAAAATGTAAAGAGGGAGAAACATGAGATATAACACATTCATGGGAAAAGATTTTGTCTTGCTTTCACTAAATTTTAATACTTCTAGGGATAAAAAGCTAACAGCAAGCTGAATGTCATGAAGGAAAAAACAAACCACACACAAAACAGTCTTTAAAGGTTTAAGGGTACTGGACTGCATCCATGGCTGACAGGGCAACTAAACAAAATTAAATGGGAATTATCTCTACTAAAGAAGTCTATGCCATGACAGCTTCTCTAGTTTCTCCCTGACTTGGTACAGCAAAGTGAAGTTTTATTAAGTTTTCCTTTAGTATTACCCAAAGACTTTGTAAGAACAACACTGCAAGTCTTAACAGATAGGTGATACTGATGTATGATTCCAGTCCAGGGACCTTTCACGTCTGGCCCACAGAAGTACTTAAAGGAGCAAGTATTGCACTTGTTTTTAGATCTGAGAAACCTGCTTCTATCACCAGAAGGCTTCTGCTTCAGGCCTGAATCCTTTGGACAGAAAACCTATTGCTACTTTTGAGTGGATTATTTGAGGAAACAGTATGATTTCATGTTTCATTTTACCACATTTTGGCTTTAGGCATCCTACCAAGAAATAAATCAAATTCTTGGTTAGTACACAGGTAAAATCCTAAAGGACATAGTTTCTAGAGCATTCCTCTAATGCACTGGGTGGTTAGTTTGCCATAGTGATCAAGGACTTGAGGTCCTCTCCTTCCTGACTACTGATGGTACCAAAGGTACCAGTTACATTTAAAAAGATGTAGCAAGTCTTGAGTGGGTGGGTAGAAAGGCAGTCTAGCTTACTCAAGGGGAAAACACAGTTCTCTACTTTTATGCTCATAAACCTTGAAAGAGAATTAAATGAGAAATATCCCCTATGAGACGTCTATGGTTTTTAAGGTTATGAGTAAATAAAGGAATAGGAATAACGACCTAGAATCTGACTTTCCTGAGCCTAGAGCTGGCACCATCTGCACAGCATTTATTCCCTGAACTGATGTCCTCAGCTCCCAGGCCAAACCCTACAGTGGTACCTAGACCTTTGAGGGATGTCTTAAGGAGATGTGAACACAGTTTCAGCTGCTACCCAGATCAGATTAATGATTATAACAAATCATTTGTTCATATTCTGTCCAAAATCATTCTTCCTATTTTCTAACACAGTATACAGAATCTTTCTTTCATTTAAAATATAAACAGAAAAGGCTTATCTTTTAAAGAAAAGACATTTTCTGAGGCTCTATAAAGTGCAGCTAATTTAAGGCAAATTTATATGAAATATAAATGGTGACTTATTGTCTCTCTACATCTTCCAGTTCTAAAAGATAAGGCCTCTTCCCCTCAAAAATAGGAAGGAGAATAAAAAGGGTTTCATTATTTTTTTCCTGGCAACTTTAAATTGTAAGATCTTGACTAGTTTCAGGAAATTATAGATTTCCAAACATATAAGTAAAATGGTTTTCTTTTTTAAAAAAATAACTTTTATATAGCCTTTTCAAACAAGTTAAAATGTGGCAATGTGTCTGCTACAGTAGATTGGAGGACTGGAGGACCGAGGGTAAAGGTTTTTTTTTTTTTTTTTTTTGGTTTGGTAAGTAGATTATAGTTAGTCTGGGGTACACATCTGTGTCAAAATATGCCTGATGAGACTAGATACCTACAGCTACTCTTAGCTCTAGGAAGGAGTATCTTCCATCTCCATTGGAATCAAATGCTCTCAAATTCTCTGGTCCTGGCATGGCAGAACCTAGGGAGTTCCAGATTTCTTGATAGGTCAGCTTCCCATCCACATCCTGGCCAGTCTTGTGGAATAAATCCTGAAGATCTGTGGAAAAGAAATTACAAAACAGATGTGTCTTATGTTTATGCATAAACTTAAGTTAAAAGTAGCCTCAACGGACTTCAATGCATTAAAAGGAAAGCTACTTTGTAGATTTTGATTCTAAAAGATAACATTTAGGACCTCATTAAATCAGAAAGACTGGGCTAGGGAGATCGCTCAGTGGTTAAAGTGCTTACCATAACAAGAGTGAGGACTAGAGTTTGGATCCCAGAGCCCACAAAAATGCCAGGTGGGCATGGTGGGTCATCTATAATCCCAGTCTCAGAAAGTGGAGGGGATCCCAGCAAGCTGGCTATTGAGACTAGCCATATCAGCCAGCTCTGAGTTTGACTGAGAGGCCTTACCTCAATGAGTAAGGTGGAAGAGTGGTGAGGATGATGCCTGACATCAACCTCAGGTTTCCACATGCATGTGTACACATACATATATGAAAAAGGAAAAGGAAAAAAACCCCTCAAAACCCAACAACCCAGGAAGACTAATTTTTTCTTTTTTTTTTTTTTTTTTTTTGAGGCAGTGTCTCCCTGTAGCCCCAGCTGACCTGGAACTCGCTACGTAGACCAGGCTGGCCTGGAACTCACAGAGATCTACCTCTTTCTGCCTCCCAAGTGCTGGGATTAAAGGCGTGCGCCACCATACCCCGTGAAGATTAATTTTTTTAAAAAATTTATTTATTATTTTTATTTTATGTTTATGTGTGTATTGCCTGCATGTATGTGAGTACACCTGTGTCATGCAATGCCTGTGGAGGTCAGAAGAGGCTGTCGGATCCCCTGGGACTGGAGTTAAGGACAGTTGTTAGCTGCCACAATGTGGGTGCTGGGATTAGAATCTGGGTCTTCTGTAAGAACAACCAGTGTTCCTAACTGTTGAACCATCTCTCCAGCCCTAGGAAGACTAATTTGTATCCTTTAGGAATGAAAGGAATACTACATGGCATAGCTTCTTAAAAGGTTTCTGAACATTCAGTGACTAAAAGTTAAAGACCAAACGCGTAACAAAACTGAGGCGTTTCTGCCAGTATTAGCCTGTGCTCGATCATTTAATTTTACTGGCTACACAAAACGTATACTTTGCAATGCACAGGTCCTCATGCCTCACAATGCCACCACATGCTTACTGAAACACTTTGGTTCAGATTTGAGACATATTGTGAACTGCAGGTTTTACTGCATATCAAGATTGCTGTTTTTTTTTTAAGAAGCATTTCATTACAACAGCATTGACATATTCAATAACAATTTTCTGAGCTAAGATGCATCTTTTTCAAAATTGGCTGTAAATTTTTAGGTTTACAGTTGAGTTATTACAGTTATATAAGATTGTATTCAGTATAAACCCTATACGACATAAAGTTAAATGAGGTTTTAACCTTTAAAAAGATCTCCATTTCATTATTAAAATACAGTTTCATACAGAAAAATTCATTTTCAATGCAATTGACATTAAGATGTTTGCACATGCATTTCTAATCTCTATGTATCTGATTATTACTAGTGATAGCTGGTTACTTTCTGAGCTTCTTGGCATCTGAGCATGGATATAAAGTCACCACGTAGATTTCAATGGTAATGTTTTTCACATCTACTAATTATTATTTTTTTAATTTTGATAACTACATGATTAGAAGAAACATTTCACTACGGATTTAACATATTCAGTAACACGCTCCAGAGCAAGAGTACATCTCTTTCACAAGTGGCTGCAAGTTTCTAGGTTCACAGTTGAGTTAATACAGTTATATAACATTGAACTCAGTATAAACTCTGTAAGACATAAAATTGAATGAGTTTTTTAACCATTAAAAACGATCTCCATTTCATTTTAGAATATATTGTTCCTTGCAGAAAGACTCATTGTTTTTGCTACTAACACTGAGATGTTGGCGCATGCATCTCTAATCTGTATGCATCTGATTATTACTAGTCATAATCGGTTGCACTTGGATCCTTGGCGCCTGTGTACATCTATGAAGTCATCGGGTAGATTTCAATGGTAATGTTTGTTACCTCTACTAATTAGCATGATGTAAATTTCCATGCTTTCTCCTCAAATATAATACATTTTAAAAAATTTGTTGATTTTTTTTAATGTGTGTGTATATCACACAGAACATCCCACACCATCTTATTCGACTATACACCCACTTCCCAGATGGCACCCTCCGAAAGCCTAAAAGTTAAAGACCAAACACGTAACAAAACTGAGGTGTTTCTGCCAGTATTAGCCTATGCTCGATCATTTAATTTTACTGGCTACACAAAACGTGTACTTTGCAATGCACAGGTCTTCATGCCTCACAATGCCACCACATGCTGACTGAAACACTTTGGTTCAGATTTGAGACATATTGTGAACTGCAGGTTTTACGGCATAGATCAAGTTTTCTGTTTTTATAGAAACATGCTGGTTTACAGAAAACAAAGACTTTTAATGTTTTCCTGTCATCGTTTTTTATAATGTAAGCACCAACTTAGTGCATCTTTGGATTGTACTGTGTTAGAATGTTCAAATTTCTGAAATGGCTCTAAAGATATGTTTACTATTTTATATATTTATGTGAAGTAGCATTCTCAGCATGGACGGTTATAAAATAAAAAGATGAATTAACTTTGAATACCAATAACAAGCAATTGGAGAAACAGTATATGGAAACACTCCCATTCACAATAGCCTCAAAAAAAAATCTTGGAATAAACCTGATCAAAGACACTGAAGATATCTACAATGAAAATTTTAAATCTTTAAAAAAAGATTGAGGAAGACACCAAAAGATGGAAGGACCTCCCATGCTCATGGATTGGAAAAATTAATATTGTGAAAATGACCATCCTACCAAAAGCCATTTATAGATTCAATGCAATGCCAATCAAAATCCCCATGACATTCTTCTCAGAATTAGAAAAAAGCCATCCTAAAATTCATATGGAAGCACAAAAGACCCCGGGTAGCCAAAGCAACCCTGAGCGCTAAAAGCAATGCTGGGGGGATTACTATACCACATTTTAAACTGTATTACAGAGCTATAGTCATAAAAACAACATGGTACTGGCACAAAAAATAGACCCACAGGTCAATAGAACAAAATTGAAGACCCAAATATGAGTACATGCAATTTCAGTCACCTGATATTTGGCAAAGGGGCCAAGAACAGTCATTGGAGGAAAGACAGCATTTTCAACAAATGGTGCTGGCAAAACTGGATCTCTCCCTGTAGAAGAATGAAACTAGACCCTTATCTTTCACCTTGCACAAAAGTCAATTCCAAATGGATCAAAGACCTTAATGTGAAACCTGAAACTCTGAAACTGTTAGAAGAAAACATTGGCAATAACCTACAAGATATGGGTATAGGAAAAGATTTTCTAAATTGGACATCAATTGCTCAGGAATTAAGGTCAAGAATCAACAAATGGGACCTCATTAAACTAAAAAGCTTCTGTACATCAAAAGAAGCAACCAAGGAAGTGAAGAGAAAACCCACAGCGTGGGAGAAAATCTTCACCAGTGACACATCTGACAGAGGTTTAACATCCGGAATATATAAAAGAACTAAAAAAAAAAAAAAATCAAGGAAGCAAGCAACACAATTAAAAGATGGGCTAAGGAGCTGAACAGAGAGTTCTCAAAAGAAGAAATAAAGATGGCTGAGAAACATCTTAAAAAGTGTTCAAC